AGCGAAAGCGTAAGATACTAATTTGTACGCCATTTTATGTTGCCAATTAAACGAAAGTACAACAGCACATCACCCATCAGTCGTTGCAGTAATTTTATTGACTGGCTTTCAATTTAAAACCGTCATTTACCGATTCTAACCACTTAATCTTTGAATATATTCGTCTGCTCAGGGTCAACTTTTAGTTTGATCCGAACGGCAGATATGAACCACACCCATTTTTGATTTTAAGATGAAGGAATTGAAATAACTTATCCAATTGAATAACGTTTTTGGTCGTTGATTTTAGAGAAGTGATGTTTAGAAATATCTTTTAAAAAATATAATATCTATACTTATGTCATTCAAAATCGGCTGTCAAAATCATTCAAAAATGGCTCAAAAAGCGTAGTTGAACTTTCAAGTCTGCTGAAAAGATAACATTTGGTAAAAAATAAGTGATTTTTATATAAATATTATTTTAAAATCAACCTGACTCAGTTCAAGCAGTTTGTATTAATTTAATACTCGTTTCATGAATATTACCCTACAGTTACCAAATTATAAACAATTAGCTAAACGAACAGTTCGCAGACAAAGTCAAGTTATGTTATTGATTTTGACGTCACAGACAACAGAATCTTCTTCAACGTCTGAACGATGCAAGGTCATAATTCTGTCTCGACGAAAAGACATTTTTTTAATCGAGAACGTAAACAATGACATCATTTACTTACACTTCATACAAATAATCAAGGAATAATATTATGCGAAAAAAGAAAAGTCGTCTGATATTGAAAGTGTCAATTGTTCTGTGATCTTTTCTTTATATCACAATCGGTTTGTCGCCTTTCTCCATTACTGTTTTGCTAAATTGTGATTGTTGAATTTGTTGTTGTCGTGAAGTTGTTTTTCTCCGCATTTGATCGAGAAATAGATTTTAAAATTGCAGTACTCAAAGATACTTTTATTGTTTTAATATTCTATCGTCCTATGATAGTTATTCCAGTCAAAAAATTGATGCTTTATTTTTATTTATGGCAACGCTTTTATATGACATTTGACATTCGTATATTCCATATATTTTGAGCCTTTCTCTAATTTTTTTGTTAATATCACAAGTGTGGTTTTTCCAATTTTGTTCTTGTTTCGAATTCGGGAAACTTTAACAATAACTTTCTTTTTTCTCACAGAATTTCGTTGTATCATTGCTTGACTAACTCAATCTATAATTATGTAATCTTGTTGACAGTAAATAATTTGCTTAGAGGTTTTGTTAAACAAACTCTATAAAAGATAAAAGTTCATAACCGCAGATGATTGTTGCAAGCCGGGTAGAGTTCATTATTGCCTTTAGTTTAGTAGAATTTCTCAATTGAGTGTCGCTTTGTAACGGAATATAAAAAGAATTATATGATGTGGTGTAAACTGGTAGGCGGTTGTTTAGATATAGAACAATTAAAAACTTTCTCCGCCCAGCCCTCAGTTTGTGCTACATTCCATCCAAGATTCATAACGCACATCTTGACCATATAGACATGTAACGCACAGATTATTAACATATTACAGTTAGTCCCAACAGCCTTGGATCTCGAATTAACATTTCCTGAAAATATATGCCAATCAAAAATGGTCACTATATTAAAAGATAAAGTAAAAGCCCACATTTTTTGTGATTTGTACTAAAAATTGTGGAATTTAAAAATGTCACATTTTTAGTATGTCTAAATACTCTAAATGAATTTTTAGAAAAACTCAACGAGGTTCGATAAATTTACCAGGTTTCATTTGAATTTAGGGGTCGGGTCGGTCCTATTATTGCGGATGTACAGCAGACAACAAGTTAACATTCTGATACAAATAACCTACACGAGTGAAAAGTTTGTTAACACTCGATTATTCAGACAGTCTGCCGAATGACGTCAAGTTGCTTTTTAATTGTTGATACTGAGATGTAATAAGAGTATTAATATTATTTTATATTATCTTTCTATACATGGGAACGTAAATCCTATAAATAATATAAAAAAATGATGAATTTGAATGCCAAGCCGAGATAAATATAATTTATTCTTTTCCAAAAAATGTTGTTCAATGATTGCTTTTCTCGTAATTTCTAAATCGAATAATGATTACAATGGAATATCACTAACAAAGTATCTAACGGTCATTGCGTCTAAAATCAATGGAACAAAGTTTTTTCTGGAATAAGAAACAGTCTCAGCAGTCCAACATTCAGCATGTTTGCGACCGAAATTTGATCGTCGAACAATAATGACCGAAAATCAAAACATAAAAGATGTGGTTTAATGACACAACGATATGTTATAGAAGATGAGTTTTGAGGAAAATTGCCCCCCCCCCCCCCCCCCGCAAAAAAAACTTGGGGCTCGCTACGCTCTTGGTCATTGAATGTGATTTTTTCAATATAGTAGGCCCTCTATACCAAACATGGGAAAAATACGACCCGCGGGCCAAATCCGGCCCGTTGGGTAATTCAATGTGGTCCGCCTTATGCTGCCACAACCAAACTGAAACCAAATTTTGATGTTTTAGCTAAAAATAGATCAAGAAATTTGTTGCGATTAAATTTAGTTTTGGCACAAGGCTCATTGTTTTTCACTGTTACTTTTGTAACACTGTAAATATTGTTCATGAAATGTAACTCTTTACGTCATACTTACATGGCCCGTCAGTCTAAGTGGGCACAATTTTTGGCCCCTGGTTCAAAAACCTTGCCCCCCTCTGCTCTAGACACATAAATTACTGAAAACATAGAATACAGTTTGCCGAGTATTAATAAACAATATAGGAAACGTGTTTCATCAATAACTCACTAGAAAATGAAGAGTTATTATATGTCAGAATTGGATTTTGAAAATATGACTTCAATGGAAAAAAATTGGCGGAATCACCGCGAGTTTGGCTGCGATTTGAAATATTTTTGACAGAACTTATTCCGGTAATTTACTATTCGATTCGAAATACTCAACCCTAATCACGAACATTTAGACTTTTAAGAATACTATGCGTTGGAAACTACTATAAATATATGTGATAAAAATTGTTTCCATCACATAAAAAAGGAATTTTATGACTTGATAGTAATCTACTTCGGTCAAAGATTTTTAGTTTCGGGCTTCAAAAATGAAAACTACGGAGTGATTATTGAGAAATATTTAGTAAAGACCATCAAGCAGTTCATGTCATATGTAATACTTCCAATATATTACAAAAAATTTTCAACGAAACCGATTCAAACACGTACCAGGTAAATTCATTATTCGGGAATTTTCAAGTAGTATCTGCTACTTGAAACGTCACAAGTTAATAATTATTTTTGTCGTTTGTTTCGTGCTCTTTTCTATACGTGATTTGGTAAAACAGAGAATGTTTAAGTGCTTGAGATAGTTCTGAATCAAAGCTATTTCGGATTCGCTTTTTGAATGAGCTTGTAAACAATTATCTTCGTTTTTGTCTGTATTAATATTTGGAATCTAATTTTGAGATGTAACTCAAAATCATCAAAAATCTTTAGTATAGAGTTAAAGTGTTTATTACAAGGAAATTTATTGTATATTCCAAAGGAAGTTTTGTTGTCAAGCAAAAATATTATTGAAAAATCGTTTCGCGGTGATATGAAACATGCGTGTCATTCCGATGGAGACGTGACAAAATGAATCGACAAGAATCAATGTTTCAAACATAAAAGACTGTCAACTTTCGGGTTTATAAATTTTGAATTATTATCCCTATAACATTTATTTAAACTCGTGATACGATCTTTTAATGGTGAAGCCCAGCCAGCATCAAATGAAACACATAAAAAGTACTTGACCTCAAGAAAGGTTAAACCGTATTTATAGTGAATCACAATTCAAAACGAATTAACGTTCTCATCTTGCAGTTGCGAGAGGAATTCACAATTTGCGATAAAAACCAATGAAATCCTTAATCCTTCAGAGCGTAATGCCTTCTCCGGTTTTTAAATTTACCACCGACGCAGTAAATTTACCACCGACGCAGTAAATTCTATCTATAGCTTCGCAGGTATGCTTCAGTTTCCGCTAATCTATGACGTTGTGCATCCAAACATTGTGTATCGGATTACTGGATCATTATTGTGTTGTCACAAATCCGTTTTAGTGTCAACAAAACTGACTGATGCATTTCCCTAAGTCTGGTGCATTTCCCTTCACACGATTTAAATTAGCATTATACGAACGGGTGACGTACATCCAGGCTGTGGAAGTTGTAGGTACAATGCAATTAACGTCAGCGTCTTTAAAGTGTTACAAGTGGATGTGAGTTGCGATATTTTACACATTTCTTTCAGTTGGTTCCAAAATAATCTACGGTACTGGTACTTTTTAATAAATAATAAAATCCAGGGAAAGGGAAATATCTGCTTTTCTGTCCAGGGATGAATTAAAATTCTTTTCGTTCGTCTATCTGTATTTCCTATTTCACTGCCTCAAATATATTGTAGATGTGCAACCGAGCGACAACTGAAATGCCAAGTGCTGCTGACACAATAAGGAATTATTGTGTTGAATTACGCGTTAGCAAATACCAAACGACGCAAAACTTGGGGGCAGTTCGTGTCAATACGGTTGAGAAGACAGCTATGAGGTAGTGAATTTTATATAAATGAAGTGATTGGAAAAACTTTAGGCTAAGCGCAGTCATCAGGTGTGAAGCAGATGAATGTCAAAAATCGAATTTTTTTCACGTTGGAATTTTCGTATTTGGATATCACGATTGAACTTCATTGCACCACCTAACGGCAAGGGCTTTTTAGAAGAGCATGACACATAATCAACTTCAATAACGGACTGCAAATATACTCACACATTCGTTGAAAATAGTTTTGTACGATATATTAATTTTACAAGATGATTGACATAAAAATATTTTATAAAAAAATTCAACATTAATTATAAAATAATTTATATTATATATTTTTAAATAAATTTTCTTTTCTTGTATATATATCTTCCATACGCCACTAAAGCGCTGGCTTTTTTTTGATAAATGCGATTTCTTTCACAATTATATAAACTTTTTGTAATATCATATTAAACTACATTCTTTCTTCTCAAGATATGGATTTGTTTTTGTGTCCATCCCTTTAATTAGAGGATCAGTTTTCATCTCTTCAACGCAAAAATTCATGATTGCTTCGGAAACGACTGAAACCTAGAATAAAATGAAATAAAAATCAGTTTTCTAGCGGAATCAGCAAGTTTTAATATTTTGTTTATATCAGATGCCTTATAAGTCGAATTTTAATTACATATGATATATTTTTTGGACCTCCTGAAGTATGCGCACCAAGATGGCGCACAACCTGAACTCATATCGTGTACCAGGTTAGGATTCAGGTTATGCGACATCTTGGTGCGCATACTTCAGGAGCACCAAAAGCTCATTAACTTAGTTACTGCTTCTTTACACATGAGTCGAAAATACATGAATCAAACTCCGACTGTATTCCCGATTTGAGGCATTAAACAGTTTCGTGTGAAACAAATTAAGAAAATATCTGTCTTGAATACAATTTGAAATATTCTAAATAAACATTTGCCTATCTTCAGTCATGACTAGAGAACGTAAATACAAGAACATCTAGGAATAGCTAACCTGCTCTCTATGCATTTTAAGTTGCCTTCGAAACTGTTCAACATACGTATCTGCTTGCTTCAGAGTCATCAAATCCATTGGATGCTCAGGTACTTCATCCTCTTCGGCATTTTGGGCAGCCATGCTAAGTTATTTTCACAAAAGCTTATATAAAATTGTTTTCTCTTCGGGATTTACAATCAAACTGCTAAAGTATTCAAATTTCTCTCGATTTTATAACCGACAAGGATAAGGATCATGTACTTTTTGGGGAAAAAAATAGATTAAAATGTGCAGATTTAATCGTTGATCCCCGCTCATACATATCGCTCGAATCGATATCAATCTACAAACCATATTCAATCATCTGGACTGATTAAAAGCAGATTATTGCAGACACTGCATTGATTATTTCCCATTTACATAAAACATTTTTACTTGTGATGAAATGGGTAGCCTACTCCCGTAGTGTGTGTACCAGGTTAGGGCGACCATAATGTTATTCCAATTTTCCTAATTTTAGTTCTATTGCGAGTTCGGGGACTGTCTGTGTTAGCCAAGTGAATATACCCCCTGTCCATAGGTTTCCGTACCATTACACAACTTGACGTAGAGTAGGCGAAAAAATATGTTACCTGCATATTGGACTTCTGGAGCGCCGTGAAATGAGATTCAATCACGGGGTTAAAATCAGTAAAGAAGACTAACTCGAAATACCACTGCGCTAGTGGATTCGTATGCGTATGATGGCGTAGCAGGAATAAACATGACCATACTATACAATTCAAGAGTCCTGCTACACACTAACACAGATGTATTTCTGCAACGTTTCGTCTTACCAAAATCACACTTCCTCAAACATCCAGTTTATATCAATGAAAATCACAAAAAAAAAACATTGTGAAAGAACCCAGCCTTTCGAAATCTGGGTCTTAAACACTTCGTAGAATATTCTAGTAAAAATTGTTGTGAGATCAAGAACACCGCGGAACATGCCGAGTACCGATCGTATTTTCATATCGTAATATGCTTCCTAAATATTAATAATTATTCTGAGAATTCAATTTTAAAGAAAATTATTTATCGCCGTAAGTATACTGCCTGGTTGTTCTTTTCTTATCACTGTTGTAACGGCTTGTCTGATTTGGCCAGGCGAAACGTTACGGAAATACGTTGCTGTCAGTGATTTTCCTGGAGGTAAACCTACGCTGGTACACATACTATATTCCTAAAATTTTAAACACCCCCCTTTATTCAAGGTGTGACACCACACTTCCATTTGAATTTAATTGTATTTAAATATTTGAAAGCGCCTATATAACAGTGCAGTTGGTAAGTTAAATACATACCATATTTCTATGAGTTACCAATATTTTTACCTCTAATGGCTAAATATGTATCACCTTTTAATTTTGAAAACACTCCCCTAAAATTGAAGATTGGGGAGCATACTGGTTGTGGTGCAGCAGAACTCTTGAATTGAACATGTTGTTACTGTTATACATATATATAGATATCCATCAACTTGTCATATTGAGTAAAAAATATTGATAACATGTTTCGTATAATGAACTGCTATGGTTCTGATGAAGTTGTAAACTCGAAATGAAAGCTTAAAATGGGCTGTTAGGTCACACATGTAAAGTGTACGAATTGCCATAAGACGATACATGAGTAAAAGCTCGCCTGATTAATCTTTTAAAATCATCCATGCAAACGAATCATTACGACGCCTGATCTGATTAAAAATGAATCGATTCTAATGAAATTCACATCCACTAAGATATTATGTCGATGATATTAAGATTATCAACTCGCTCTTTGCTTGCAACAGTACGAGAAAACTGAAGAATGCTAACTAAAATAAATGTAGACGCTCTGAACCACAATCGCCTAAAACAAGCCTGGTTATGTTGTCAAGTTTTAAACTTTTGTTCTCGCCAGTCTCTTAAATAATAATACTTTGAATGTACGATGCGAGGCGGTAATAGATACCTGTTTCATATCATATTACCATTTTCAATGAGTAACGTTTACTTTTAAAAATCAGTTGAATAAAACTATCAGCTGGTTCGGTGTTCACTATTGTGTTTCAGTTGGTATTGTATTAGCCTACAACTAGAGATTCTAGCATCGATCCCCAACACCACTAAAATTTATCAGAATGTGATAGTTTACACGCGGAGAACCAGGACGCTATATTTTTCGAACTAGTAAATCTGTCGTCGATAGTGTCGTGCAGTCCTATTCCCTTACTATTGTGGAGCCCCAGTTTGAATAACCCTGATCCAGACATTGAAACGGAGAAAAATTAGAAAAAAAAAAGATATGGATGAATATCGAGAACTTATCGTATTAGTTTATCGACATAAAAACTATCCTTGGACGGCCTTGCATTTCTAAATCTTGCCCAATGTAATGAGATCACCAGTTTGATAAAAAATGCAGACGAAGTTACGCAAATGTATTTAATAAGAGAAGTAATAAATAATTTTGCATCAAAAGCATTTTTGCTTGCAGTGAGTGTCCAAGTAAAAATGAAATCAAGAGATACCAAAAAGGAGAAACGTAGCGAGGGAAATATAAACATAAAGAAAAAAATATAAAAAGAAAAAAATTAAATTCAAATGGAAGTGTGGTGTCACACCCTAAATGAAGGGGGGCGTTTAAAATTTTAGGAAGGGTATTTGGTGCTCCCGTAGTATTCGTACCAAGATGGCAGACAACCTGATGTTTTATTTTTATTCCAGCTGTTATGTTCTACTTAATTACTGACATCTGGAATTAAAACTTTCATAATAGGTAGTTAAAATTTTAACTCATAAGCTGAAAGTATGTAAATATGATCCACAAAAAGCTCTAAAATAAATGTAACGAAATAAGGTAAATTAATTTTGAGTACATTCGCAGAACAAAACAAGTGCAAATTTCAAGCAACAGGGCTCTAACTTTGTATGAAATTATTTCAAAGCTGACATGGGTAAACTACGGCCTACGGACAAAATCCGGCCCGCTGGGTGATTCAATATGGCCCGCCTAGGCTGCCACAACATAACTGAAAACGAATTTTGATATTTTTAGGTTATAAATAGCTCAAGGAATTTGTTAGGATTGCGAATAAATTCAGTTTTGGCACACAACTTACTGTTTTCCCACTTTTGTTTTGTAACACTGTATATATTGTTCATAAAATGTAACTCTTTACTTCACACACATATAGCCAGTCAAGACAGGGAAAATTTTTTGGCCCTGGTGCAAAAACCTTGCACACCCCTGTTACAAAGTATAACAACTTACTAATTGCACTCACCTGTTGCCTAGGAAACAAGTTTAAAACATTTTACCAGTTAAGAAAAATTTATATTTACATCAGTCCACAGCTCACGGGAATATGGTATCGCATTGACAGATCGCCTATATTATTTTTATTATTAAACAAATTGTCTCTTTGTCAATTTCACGAAATCAAAACAAAACTGGATACTAGTACCTTTGATATTTTTCCACGAGAGAAAAGTGACGAGACTGATCTAGTGAATTTTGTGAAAAAAAAATATAAAAATTATTAAGTTCCCTCATAAAACTTTAATAAAGCATTTAGAGAGAAAGGGTTTAAACATTTAACATATAATTACTTAGCCTTACATACAACTCACTAGAAAATATATTGAATAACATAAAACTAGAATAGAAAATGAATCAAATATTATTCAAGATTTACTACATTTTCCATATCATCATGTTTTGACACAATGTAGTTGAAGTTATCCTCCATAATATGGAAACGATTGTTGAGTCATCTCCAAAACTGAGAAAATGTCGGCAAGCCCTGGAATATAAAATTATATTCCATAAAATTTGAAATATCAGAGTTAAAGTAATCTAAATTCTTGTTGAAAGAACAGTTAGACTAAAATTAAAAAACCAAACGAATATTATTACGAATATTGTAAGTTGCATTCTACTAGTTTACCTTCCTACAAATTACCATTCATCCACTTACCTCAATAACAGTGGAACATTATACGACATCAGATCAGTAAGAAAATTATAATCAGTTCATATGTGTTGCCTTGTATGAAAGCATGATAAGTAGATAGATGCAACCTGAAGTTTATGGAAACATATTTGAGTATTTATATTCTGAGATGACAAAATATTTTCAGGAAATTGAACCTAAAATAGACATTTACTAGAAAACGAATATCAGTATTTTCATGGAAATACTGTCAATACACATTTCGATGTATGCGTCATCATATGTTGTATCCCAAACAAGTTTATTATCATTAAGAAAAAATTCCAATGTTTTTCCTAATTTTCCAAAAGCATTCTCCGTTCGCAGGATTAGACATGAACATTAAAATATATCTATTTTAATTTTGATAAACAACTGTACACTCACTATTATTAGTCATTGTCACAATTCATCAATAGCTAAATCTGGAGAACAATTTGTTACGCATTGACGAATAACTGCGGTAAAATTTTAGCCATATTTGACGCGTTTTTACAGTTATTGTTGTTGGTTCGACTAGTTTTGAAGCAAGATGCTGACGATATAGTAGATATCTGCAAGAAAATTTGATGACTCATGAACTTGGAATATTTTTTCACAATGGGAGATGCTTTGACCATTTAGGTTCTTTATATTTCTATATTTTTGGATAATCATCAATGTGTCAAAGGTGACGTAATAATTAAAAATTTAAGAAGTTGCTCAGACCTTTTTTAATTCAAACAGATTTTCAGGCATGGCTGGAAACATTATCTAGCAATTAATTACCGTATTTTTTTTTGTTGTGTTTTCGAAACTTGGATATAAATCAAATACCTCAATAATTATTCTGTCTCTCTAAAAAGTTTTAGTTCAGTGGAACAGCTCAAAAATAAGTCCTGAGAAGCGACTAGGGCTGGGCAAAATATTCGAATAACGAATAGCGAATCGAATATTAATTTATTCGAATGGCATTTTACTATTCGAATATCGGGTACCACGTGATCTGCGCCGCCTCGCTTAGACACAGAACGTCTCTGAACCGATCGTGAATTGCGCGAGAATTCACCTACAACGCTCGCTAACAGACAAAAGCGACAAATTTGAAAAATCGTCTTTGCGTTGTGATGTTATTTGTTTTCTTTGCGTCTCAATCGTTCATTTCAATTACCTATTTTGCAAAACAAGGTACCGACACCGTTCCCTAAATTTAGAAACGTCAAATCAGATGAGGTATTTGAAATAAATATCCCAGATTTTAAACTCCGTATGATTGGCGGCACGTGACATTCCGTTTCATGCATGAACCAAACATTAATTTGTTTAACGAAATATAAAAGTTGAAATAACTTTCGCATGAAACCAAACATAGTATAACACGAACAAGCTATGGCCAGTAAGGAAATGGCAAGACATAATTCTTTTAATGTACTTTCAAATTAATTCTTTAGTGATCCCTTTCATTCTTGACCAAGTAATGTTTCGAAAATGTAAACATTTCACTCGGACATGCATGGCGGGTGGAGTGTAGAAATCATAACCTAAAATCAATCGTGAATTTCGATGTAACAACGCGTCTCGTTCACGAATTGTTGTATCATCGGAAATGATTACATTCGATATATTTTGAGCATTTTTGCACTGATAAGTAGGTCGTGACATTATCTAAATCGTCAAGAGAAGTAAAAGTGAACTCGCAAATTCCGTAAATAAAATTTTGTATTACTAGGTAACGATATTAGCTATGTTTCGAAAATGTAAATATTTTACTCGGCCATGCATGGCGGGTGGAGTGTAGGAATCGTGAACAGGAGGATAAGGTAAAATCAATCGTGAATTTCGATGTATCAACGCGCACTGTCTTGTTTTCGAATTGTTGTATCATCGGAAATTATTACATTCGTTATATTTTAAGCATTTTTGCACTAATAAATAGGGCGTGACATTATCAAAATCGTCAAGAGAAGTAAAAGTGAATTTGCAAATTCCGTAAATAAAATTGTGAAGTACTCGGTAACGATATTAGCTATAATGATCGCGGGGTTTCTTGAAAGAAAACGTAGGACCTTGGAAGAGTTAGTTATAATTACCGCCTGGCATCTATTAGGCACAAAAGTACAAAAGCGCAATTTTTTTCAGCAATAGGTCGCATATGTAAATTATTATTCAAGAAGCGCTGCTTATTAACGTCATCTCGTCATATGGCCATGCAGAAATGCCTTTATTGCCGAATTATTTAGTCACTATTACAAGTCAACATTCGGGATTGACGCAATCGCAGCTTTGCGAGGTTTATCTGTAAAGTAAAATGCATCTCGGTATCGATAATACAATTACCGTTCGCTTAATATTGTGACGGTACATTTACAAACGTTGATAGGTAATATGAAAGCCAACGCAAATGATAAAAATTAGAATAATATTAATTTGGGGGGTTTGAAATTATTCCTTAATGGCTTTAACAGCTGTTGCCGACGTGAAGGCACGGGTAAACCCGAAATATAAACTTCGATGTCCGCCGATCCGAAATAATTAATACTCGCAAAAAACAGAAAGGGCGGTAATATAGATTATACATCGCCGCAAAAACGGTCACGGTGACAATTACAAAAACAATCAGCGATTATGACAAAATTAACCAGTAAAAAACGCTCTGTAGCCAAAGGGCGTATCGACCGACGTTCTGGACCTCCCCTTGTGTATAAAAAATATTCGTTATTCGACTATTCGGTATTCGTTAAAAATGTTCGAATTATTCGATTCGAAAAAAAATTCAATTTTGCCCTCCCCTAGAAGCGACTGAACTAAAATTATCTTTCAACACTTTCGAATTTTACAATGATGGCATCAAGAAGTATCCAAATAAGTATTTCGAGAAAAATGAACAAATTATTTGAATATACTTTTATATTTATTATTGAAATAAGTTGCCAATCTGCATATAAAGTCCCACCTTAGCCATATTTGTTTTCTATCATCTTCATCACCAACATCCACAATTGCCTTTTCATAAAAATCCAGTATAACGTTGACACTTTGGTTGGATAAATCGTGAAATAAACTGAAAAACAAGTATATATATTTCATGGAAACATGATTCACCATGAAGTATGTTTAAAATTGAAGAGAAAGAGTTCTATTACGATTGGCGTAATCACAAACATTGAGTGACATATCATTTTTTTCTGGATTCACAGGGTGTCCATAAAGTCCTTTCGCAATTTCAATTTTTTTATGAAGTCAGTTCTAAATATATCTTAACCAGGTTTGTTGTTTTTTATTCAGTAATTGTTTAAGTATTTTTACATCATTTAACATATGTAAGGGCCGAAAGACCGAAAAAATATATGGCATCGATAAATATCATTTGCAATATTGAAAATAATTGAGACATCCTTTATATCTTAACAGTTATAATCTCAACAGCCTTAATCTATGTTTCTTACATGTAATTCATCCATAAATATGCTGTGTTCTTCCTAACAATTTTCCAACTAATTTCCGGTAAGAGAGAAAGATGTTTATCAGTTAATGGATCTGATAATCTCGAAGTAGTGAAATAATTTTTTCAATTTTGATAAATTAATCACATATATATCTGAAAAAGAAACCAAAATGAAACAAAAATCAAAATCCCAATTTTATTGTTCAAGTGCGACCTCTAATACAGGAAGGCTAGATCGAAATAAATGAGTGAAACCGCGGGCCGCTCCTTCATTCAACAGATTTTTTAGTAGTTGCAGACACAGAAATTTTGGTTATTGATCATATGACATGCGTTGTTCGCTTTGCACAAGCTAGCTGCAAGGGAATCGTAATGATATAGCCTATAAACATAGATAAATAATTAGTTGCAACGCAAAGCGATTGGAAGTACACACTTCAAAATTAGCACTTTTCCGCGGCTGCACAATTTTTCCTTGTTGGCCGCATTTCGCCCATGGCCTGCAGGTTGCACACTCCACGTTTGAATCATGTCTTCATTCGGGGTATAATTAACAGGGTAGGGAATGCCAAAGCCAGATTAACTATATCAAAAATTTATAGTTGAAAAATTTATAGTTTAAAATTTATAGTCACTGTCATTCAAGGTAATGACCATTCATTACATCATGCGATTGCAGTCTAATTCTTTAAAGAATTTTCATGTCTAAGATCTAGTTGATGATACCTATTTATTTTCATACTGTCAATTTCCCTACTTACCGTAGCTTTTGGTAGTTAAGTTATTTCCAAAATAGCATTCAAAAATCAGAATCCATAAAATTTGTTGATTAACATAAAACTCGAATAAAAAATAAATCAAATATTATTCGAAAAAGATTATTCAAGATTTACTACAATCAAATGCTTCTAAAATCAAAAATCAGTGCTTCTGAGTGAGAATGAACAACATATAATAAAGCTATTAACTGTTCTGCTATTAGCTTTATTAATATCATTTAATATTATATTTATCAATTAATAAATCGGGATATTGTACAAGGTGAATTTTAATTTGATAAAAACTACAAAACTTTTACCTATTTTCAAATAAGCTGAAACACAAGTTTCAAAATACAGAAGTGCAGCATCAATGTCCGATGATTCTTGATTCAATTGAAACAAAGCTGCTTCATAACATAGCTTTGCAAAAGATGGATTTTCTGTCACAGCTTCTTCAAAGACCTTTAAAAAAGTAATATTAAATAAATGAAGATCTTCTTGCCTGTTTGTCCTATCCATGACTGTTATATTATCCCATTAAAAATAAGTATGCATTAACGATTTGACATTTCTCATTTATTACCACAAGAAAAATAATTTTTTATTTTTTCAAACTGAACATAATAATTTTGATATTTCAGTGCCTTTTTTATGCTTTTAATGGCTCAGTTATAGTTACATAGTTTATAGCTTTTTCAAGCTGCAAAATAACATTTCAAACGCCCAAATATCTGTTTTTCAGGCACTTCGTCATTTTCTCACACAACACATTTTGACAACAATACCAAACGCGCAGAAATTTCACAGCCAAATAGCATGGGAAACAAGTTTTTCGCAGTTTCCCATGGCAATTCAAAACACTTCACGACAAAAATAGTACTTTTTTAGCCATTCAAATTTAATGAATGGAAACATTCCAACCTCTGAAATCTAAACGAATGCAAAAATTCAATATAAATACTTTGCTTGCTACAGTAGTACAGTCGGCTGCTTAATGCAGTAGGTTGGCATGCATAGATGTATTTGCCTCAACTTCATGAATAACAAATAGTAACATAGAAGTTTCATTGAAATGGAATTGCAACTTGATTAATTTTAGACAGAAATGTATGCTAGACTGCATTTGAGTTTCAATTCTAATGTTTGCTTTAAACAGGCGTTAAGTGTTTAAAATCGACTATCATTCTACTATGCCTGATTTAAAGTTGTTTCAAACCGCGTACATAATAATAAGCCCGCGTGGTGAATGCGCCGTAATTATCTGAATAAGAGTTTGTGTGTGTGTCGTATGATCAACTAAGTGGCCCATAAGCTTTCTACACCTCTGAAGCCGGCAACAAAATATTAAATTAGAATGGAACAAAAAGTAAGAATTTGTATTTTTGCCTAATAAAATAGTGATTACGAGCCGGCTCAGCGTCTAATCCAAAACTTACAAAAAAAACGCAAAAAAGTCAGGCAAGAATGACTTTATACAAAAGTGTTTATACTTGGTTTCGGGTCATATGATTTTATTAGCTCGTCGTAACTTCAAGGACAAAAATTAGTTTGCGATGCAGAAATCAACAATAATGATCAATGAGTGTGCATGATAGAAATATGCGGCAGGGCTGCCAAAACTTTAGAAGTTTCGATAAAGCATTGGACCGGGTGCATAACATTATTCTCTGAGATCCAGAAAAACAGCGCAGCGTTTTGTCGACAGATTGTGAAGATTGTGAATTTTGAGGAATTGGGAGGACGCTTGGGAAATTATTAGAATTATTTTGCATATCAAAAAATTCAAATAACATCGAATATCATTAAGTTTATCACAGCAGTGAGTTATTCAATTTCAGTAGAATGCTATATATACCACAGGTTTCTTTAACATATCTGGGTAAGCTCATTGAATAGCAATGTAATACCAAACCAAGAAATAATTGTCGTTATGGGGGTAGAACGCGGATATTGTATTGCTTTGAGTAAAAATCCTAAAAATTGCGCACCTACACCTGCCTAATTTCTGCGCTTTATTGAAGTATACGAAGTCACCCCAGGATCATCAGCTTTGACGAATATCTCGGCGTTTCCTTGATTAGCTAGGCATCTTTCAGTATTTGTCCGCTAGTTTAATAAACATTTAACTTATTCCTGTTTCTATATATGTCAAAAGCAATACACTTCATGTAGCAATTTTGTGTTATTTCTTTTCAACATAACAGTGCCTCTCAACATTTTATATTTAACTACCCACGAACTGCAAAACATTCAACCAGAACTTCGATTTAGCTGGCTCGTAATCAAGCGATAACATACTGATAAAAGATTGGCAGTTTTAAAGCTACTGTGAGTGTTGGATTGCATTTAAATCATAATTCGACTTTAGCTGCCAAACGTGCACCGGGATCGAGCGATCGAACTTGTTAAGACAACATTTTGTCGAATTCAAACAATTGAAAGAAATTAAAAACGTTGCTAAAGCGTGTGACAACACGTCGGTCCAAAGTCGAAAATCAACTTTGTGGTCAAACCCCAATTTGAGGGACGGACGACAAAACGTAACGACTTTTTACGCAAAGAAAATGGTTGGTTGAATAAATATCATAAGAGAAAAACGTATGCGTGAGTTTTTTAATTAACGGGTTAAGACTTAAGAGTACACAAAAAAGTGATTAAGGTATTTCCCATATTCATTCCTTACGCTTTCAAACCAAATCAGTTATTTCTCGACAAAAATCAGCATAAATCTTTATGGAATTTGAAAATTTATTTTTGAAGACAAACCCAGAAAAATGCTACGCAAAAAAAACAGCAGACCTGTTTGCAATAAAACTTGGAATTGATTATGCGTTCTAAGCACAGACCAGTAAATCCAAAGGTATAATTTAATTTTGAATGTCCGGTTACATGGTGTCATTATTTCGCTAGTGTTGTACCTTGTCAGCCCGACAGCCAAACCTATCTTCGCACGATAAAAGAGAAAGGGCAAGGCAATTAGTGATGTTCATATGTTTAAGATTTGAAAATCAATCAGAACAACCAGTTTTACCCGTTATTTCACCTTTGGCCAGATGTGCGGGCAAGATTTGTCCTGCACACCAGGCAGTAGATTATTTTGTTTTTTCAACTAAACCGGAAATTTTGGATTTTGCAGGCCCTAGATTTTAATTTGCTTGATTTAAAAAAATTGAACACTTCACGCTCGCTAACAAATTCCACTATTGTGTCATATAGGCCTACAAACCTTTTCCAACAGTAACTTTTGTATAATCGACGTACGCAAGTGTGTGGAAGTATATTCATGTGGAATTTATTTATGCACACTATTTGAACAATCTCACATTTCAAAGTCGGGATTCAGTTGGCAACCCTAGTAATTTATCAACAATATTTCCAGTTAACAAATGATTTCCACAGCTGCTAAATTCTTTATATGAACAATGAACTGTGTTCAGAATAATTGCCTAATCCGCTAGCTAAGTCTAGTGGAGTCCGTGGAGAGATTGACTATTATTTACGGAGCCCCACAATAAATATATTAAAATTACATGTTGGTAATTGAATAATGTCATATTCAATAAATTACCGCCTTGTTGTCACATTTTAACGCTACGGCTGTCAAATTTTATAGATGACTTATGAATTACTTATCGATCTCGATTGGTAAGTATGTAGATAGGTATTTGTCTGTTTGTTTGTCTGTTAGACACTTTCGTATGTTACGCAATATCTCACGAAAGAAAGGTTGAATCTGCTCCAAATTTTGCATGTGCATTCATCATATCTTGGACCAGAAGCCTATTGAATGGACCGTTCCCCGACCTTTGACCCCGGAAAATTTTTCCTATACTTTACCATTTAAAAATGTTCGGTGCGTATTTTAAGAGTGGTTTTGCGAGTTGTTGCCTGTAAAACGGGGTATTTGTTTCATACTATCATTCTAATTCATACCATTCAACAATCTGTTTTTTAAAAGATATTTCGACACCAAATTTTTGCCTACTGTAAATCAACTGAAACTTCTGGGGAGACAAAGTGATCATTGACTTGTTTTATTTATATTTCCGAAAAACAACTGAAAACTAACGAATATAATTCAAAAACGCCAAAATGAGGTTAATTTGTACGACCAAGCCTGAAAATCTGTCTGAGTGAGAAATGTGTCTGAGCGGATGCAAAAGGGGGCATTGTTACGTCTATTTTTGCAACTTGCTGAATGGCCAATGTCACGAAGTAAACAAGGAAGCCTATGCCCGGGAAAACATCCAAACGGCGGTTTTGGCGATGAATTAATTTTATTTACAATCTACGCTCGAGGAGTAAATTACATTTTCTTATGTAACAGAATTTATCGTGAGGCACGTTCAGACAAAATTTTATTATATTCTTAAAATTATATGAAACAGCTTC